CAGGGTCACACACACACACACACACATATATATATACACACACACACACACACACAAAAAGTTTTCATTTTAGCTTGTTTTTTGTAATTTCGTTTTGTGCTTTTGGCATTTTTCTTAGTAGTTCACATTCTAATAATATTTGTTCATTTTTAAAATCTATATAGCTTTATTTATTAATTTAATTAAAAAAGTTATTTAGTTTCTAATTGTAGTACGTCAACTTGATTAGCTGATTTAGCTGATTATGCAGTTATTTTAATGTGTGTCTATATATATATATATATATATATATAATATTAATTTTATACCATCCAGAATTTTTATACCAATGCAGCCTGATTGGATAAGCCACTTTCATTGTCATCATATAGTTGGTACACACCTGTAACCGGGCATCAGTTATTGCTATATTATACCATATGCATATAGTCTCCGTTAGTTCAGCACATCTGTGCTTGTTTGTGCCGTCAGGAAGATGAAAAGCATGTTCATTTGGTATGGTTTCTCCTTCATAGTGTTAGTTGTGTAAACACCTGCTCTGGCGAGCAGAAGCGAGTCTCGGCGAGTGGAAAGGTTAATTGCATGAGTGATCTTCTTTGTCTCGTGAAGTAGCATGGCTCGTCAAAGCTTCTCTATTACACTCACGAGCTCTCGTCAGACGCGGCTGTCAGAAAATCCATATACGACTGCGCTGCAGGCCGTCGCGTGTGGCCGCTGACGGTCACGGCTACACCTAGTACGCGAGACGCTTACACCACAGAGGTGAACTATAACCTCAATACATCACTCACGGCTAGTTTTTTGGTCCTTCGTCTTGAAGTACATCTGTCACCCTTCACATTTTAGCCCTTCTCAACTAGGGGTGCACCGAAATGAAAATTCTTGGCCGAAGCCGAACAAAATTAAACACTGGGCCGAAAGCCGAATACCGAACACGGAGTTTTTTTCCCCATGTATTTTGCCAATTTTTTTTTTCCACCATTGCATAAATGAAAAAGCCAAAATGTGCTTTTTACTGTTTTGTCTTGCTTTTCAAAGAAAAAAAATCAATTACAAAACAACAATTTCAAAATATTTAACACTGAACATTTTTAACATTCTAGCAGACACTATACCAACAAAGCACAATTTAACTTAAAATTAATAAGTTAGTAAAATAATAATTTTTGGCCATCAGACCCCCTTCTTGAATCAGGAAGCATGTATTTTTTATTTTTTATTTTTTTTTTACTGTACAATTAAAAGCAGCCTTGCTGAGAAGAGACTTCTTTTAAAACATTAGAAAATATTACAGATCCTAATTTGAACACTATGTGTGAATGTTATAATAAATGTATTAAAACAGAGCTGTTGTAATGATTATTATCATTATTATTGTCTTACTTTTTATTTTATTTTACAGAACAACAGTAAAATTACAATACTAACATTTATGAATGTTGACAAGAGTTCTTTTTCTCAACTTTTATTTTGGCGGAAACCCGCAGGAAGACCTCAATGCTTCTTTTTGTTGACAACAGATTTATAAATGAGTCTCATTACGAATACGTCGTACGTATCGCATTGTCACATGCCTTGTAAAAATTCATAAAAATGTGACTGAGCAACTGACGACTGTATCAGCGCAGATCTTCCTCGGGCTTTGAACCCTGGTTAACAAGCAGATCTGCTGCTAGTTCGTGCAGCGCTGTCAGAATACATGCAATGCATGTATTAGAAAACGTAACGTTCTGCAGTTTATTTACTAATTTCACAATTTCAATCATCATACAGCAACCGGCAACAATCCCCCTTCCTCTTTTCATTGAAGACATGCGATGCAGTCCTAAACAGTCTCTCGCTGTCTGTGCTTGTAATGATTTTTGCGTCTTTCTCCGACAGTTTAAATGCTTCCACACTGCTGACGTGTGTGCTGCATAATAAAGAGTGCGCACCTCTCACTCTGCGCTGCTTGCTATTTGATCGCGTCATATCATTGTTCGGTACAATTTATTCGGTCTTTTCGCTTATTCGGCCGAACACCGAAAGAGTTTTTTTTGCTATTTTCGGCCGAATAATTTCGGTTGCCGAACATTAGGTGCATCCCTATTCTTAACTCTTCTACTCTTGTTTAAAGGACTGATCGAGGACTTTTGGCCTTTTGCTTGTTTTGGTCATTCAGTTTAGTGTTTACAGTGTAAAGAAGCAAAGCCAGGGCCGAAATAGTGAGCAATTTAGATCTATGTTTTTTGTCAAAGGTATATTTGTGTATGTTCTGTCATACATTTATCATACTTTCTATAGTTTTTATACTGTGAAGTTAAATCGCAAAGATTATTTTCATGATTATTCATACAGACCTACAAGAAAAAATGCATGCCCTTAACAGCATGCTTTAGCCCATTTTATAATTAATTTGTCACTGCACATTTATTTTTGTAGTTTTGCATTTTTGTTAACATTAAATATTTTATTCATTATTTAATAAAGATATTTTATATTTTTATAATGTTTAAAATAATATTTAGAAATCAACTATTTCAAACTTAAAACCTTCAAACTTCAAGATTTTAAAAATAATGAAAACTTTTTTTGCCAGGATTTCTCAAGCCAACGAAGTTCCTCTTGATAAACTTTTTTATTTAGTTAAATATTTTATTCATTATTTCAGAAATGTTATTTTAAATTTGTATATTTATACAGTTTTTACAAATGTAATTGTTTATTTTATTTATATTTTATTTTATAATTTCTATATTATTATATAACATTTTACTTTTTATTATTTTTATATTATTTTTATAATATCCCAATATAGGAGTCACTTTTAATTACCCCAAAATCAATGAAAATATTATGAAAAAATGTCACAATGCAGAAAATCTTGAAAATTAGAATTATTTTTCCCTCTATATAGAGAAAGTAAAAATTAATGATTTATTTATTGTTTTGCCTGAAATGTCAGAGTCTGTCTCCTACAGAAGGACATGCCTAAAATCTCACCGGAGCAGTTCCACCGGGCTCACGGTTCAAAGAACCATGATGTTTTTGATGTCTTGTTTTTGCTCTACCAAACAATTATGCCCCATACTAACAAAAGTGGCGAACCTGTGTGCGTTTGTGTTGTGCAAGTTGAGCTTTCATGACTTCAGAATGAAACAGAAAGTCCTCAGGCTTCATCCTCTCCACTCTCTGGAACTTCGCTTCAAGTGTGTTTATCTGCACCCGAGATTCAGGGGCTCGCCTGCCTGCCCATGGGCGGTTAAATAATTAATTTGCCGTGCATGCCTGACCGTTTGATCATCTCCTCATATCTGTGCGCTTTCAGGATTTTAGCATGTTCCCCCTAGAGAGCCTCTTCTCATGTCTTGTTGTGTCAAGCTTGACCTACTGCCCTGCAGAGAGAAAAAAGTGAGCGCCAGCGGAGGCCCGCCGAGAAAAGACAAGGTAGACAGCATCATAATTTGACGAGCCAAGAACAAACTGTGCTGGGTTCTGAGGAAAAAAAAAAGACAATTTTTTTATTTTATAAAACTAGCGTAATCCACAAAGAACAAGCAGTAATGGTAGAAAAGATGACAGCTCCTGCTCTCCAGAAGCTGGAATAGCTAGGTCACGATCTATCGTCAGCGACTGTCAGTCCTGCATGTCGTTAGCTTACAGCTGGCATGTCTTACGGGAAACGTGTGTAGGGTTTTGGATGCTTCACCTGACAAGGAGCTTTCAAATCAAGGCAGAGTCGCAGGCACTTTATTATTCATTGGGCAATAAATGATTCAGAGTGGCGTCGACGTGCACATTGTCTATGGTGTAATTACCGGCGTGCTGAAAAACAGCCACTTTCCATTTGCGCTGACGCACGACGGCCCCCGTTTCTTGTCGACATCTCTATCGTAGCAGAACGGGTCACAAGCCCACTCCAGTCGTAGTCCCTTCGCTCGCTATTTTACATTCTAATGCACTGGGAGTAACTGTTAAATTGCGTGTGTGTGGGTGTGTGTTCAGTCACTCGGTAATTTAATTTAATTGATTTGCTGTTACAGTGGCCTTGTGACGAATTGGGTTAGCTTCACTTTACCTGCACTCACTGTTCACTATAGCTTGCTAGCAGCATGCTACTCTTACTATTTCTGCAGTATGAACATTTTTTGTATGGCATGCTAAAATGTGTAAAAAAAACTGTAAGAGGCTATTTTCCCACAATGCAATGCGCTCAACTTGACTGTGCATTTCCAGTGTGAACGGGAAGTGATATCAGCTGTTATTATCTCTTTCTTGCCTCTTTTGACCAGTCTGGCAAAATGTAAGGTGTTTTGGTGACAACAACAGCCGAATGCTAATCGTATTTTGCTTGTTTTCTTTTTCTTTAGCTCCACCCAGGTTCACAAAAGTACCTGTCGATATGATCGGCGTCTCCGGAGGTGTTGTATCCTTCATATGCCAAGCCACAGGTGACCCCAAGCCAAGAGTAACCTGGAATAAGAAAGGAAAGAGGGTGAACTCTCAACGCGTCGAGGTGAGACTTAGCGTGCTAGCACTTACTCAGTATATCAGTTGAATAATCAGCCGTTTCTATGGTATTTCTCACAAAATGCCATTAAAAAGACATCTGGAACTGTTTTTTTGGGTCAATCTGAAGTGTTTACATAGCATACATGTCTTAGCTTCTGTGGGTTTTAGCCTGTGTCTTATATTCCTTTCTTGTTTGCTGTGTTCTTTTGTCATAACACAGCTGGCAGCTGTAGTGTTGATCAATGTTTAGAGTATCTTAATTAAAACTAGCTCTGTATTTAACCACGCTGTCACTATTCAACAAAGATGAAAAACTTCCCTTGAAAAACAAAGATGAACACAAAAATAAGTTGGCGGTTCCGATCCACTCGTCGGCGTGAACCCAAGAGTATGCTCAAATTATCATCTTGGTTGCATTGAAAAGTCATTTCGTGAGGGGTTTGAATTAATTAATTTCCCCGAAGGCTTTGCTTTGATATTGATCTACACACACTTAGGACTGTGTGGCATCACTGGGCTGCTTCTCATTATCGTAGCCTTGAAAACTCACCCTCCAAAAAAGCGAAGAGAGTTTTGCCACTGGCTTAAAAAAGAGCCTCGTTCCTCTTTGTCATTCCCTATTGATTCGAGCGACTGTTTCGCTACAATGACATCAAATGCGAAGGCACCGCAGGAGCCTAATTATCTCTATCGCATAATTTGAGCTCACAGCAACATCTAGACGTTAAAGGACATTTTGGCGCCTTAAAATATGAGCACAACAATTTTTTGTCAGAATTAATTGATGTAAACATGAAAAGGGCTATGGTTAAGGGTCAAAAGATGGGGGTGCTGGTTGATCAATCCAAAACTTTTCAGCAGGGAAGTTACATGTCATTTTCTAAGACCGTTCCCCCTAGAGCAACTAGGAATTAAGTGCCTTGCTCTCAAGGCACTCGGTAACTCTCCAATTCTGGGATTGAATTCACAGTCTTTGTGTCTTCAGGCCAGATTTTTAACTACTAGCCTACTGTTAATGACATTTTACCATGAAACATTTCAATGTAATATACCAACTCAATCTTTGTCCTCTCACACAGACAGTAGAGTTTGACGAAGGTGCGGGAGCCATCCTAAGAATCCAGCCTCTCCGAGCGCCTCGAGACGAGAACATCTACGAATGTGTGGCAGAGAACAGCGAAGGCGAAATCAGTGTCCAGGCTAAGCTGTCAATTATCAGAGGTAAGATTAAAGGTTGACCTTTTTTTTTTTTTTTGTGAACCAACCCTTAATGTCAGGAGTTTCCAATCCTGCCCCAAGAAGGCCACTGTCCTGAGAGTAAAGGTTGTCCTTTTTTTTTTTTTTTGTGAACCAACCCTTAATGTCAGGAGTTTCCAATCCTGCCCCAAGAAGGCCACTGTCCTGTTAAGTTCATCTACCTGGAAGTTTCTACACTACAAAATCTGTCACTGCAATGGTACCCTTAGCACCTTAAAGGTACATATTTATACCTAAATGGTACCTTTTATAAGCGTACCATTCCAGTAACAACTTTTGTACCTTTTTTCTGAGAGTGTAGTGATCCTGAAGACCTTGAGTAGTTAGTTCAGGTGTGTTTAATTAGGGCTGGCGTTAAACACTTCTGGAAGTTGACCCTCCAGGAGCAGGGTTGGATCTCCCTGCTTTAAGTGTACACCCCCCTCCAGTCCTCGGGACCCACCTCCCAAAATGTTTTAGATATGTCTCTATTCAACACACTAAGAAACTGATGAGTTGAATCAGATGTTTTAATTAGTGAGACATCTAAAACATTCTGGAAGGTGGGTCCCCAAGACTGGAGTTGAGAAACACTGCCCTACAGGACCATCTCGGCAAATGGGTAAACTGACCAGCGTTCTCTGGTTAACTTGAATGTGACACAATCTTACTGTTGCAGAAACTCTAAATCCGTCCTAGCCAATCACAGAACCTCTGTCGTCCTCACCATCGAGTTATCCGGTTGTTCCCCGTGCGCTGAGATCTAGCCATCTGCCTCGTCAATGCCAAGCGCTGGAGCAGGCAGCTTGCAGGCTTCTTCCTGGGCCTGAACCCAAGCCGAGGGTTTTTGTAGGCAGCCCAGTTTTACATGAAAATCCTGGCTTTGGCAAGACCCATGCGGCTCAGGAAGGAACACAGGCGGTAGCACAAGGGGGGAAAAAAACGGCTGCTGCCCCCTTCGCTCTCTCATCCCCATCTGCTGTGGGCTCGCAATTACATTGAACCTCATCAGTAGAGCAAGCCCCATACACACTCATACAAAGGACGACACATGTGTCTGCACATTCCCAAAAGAGAGTGCCTCTGCTCCTGAACGTCTGCGCGGACATTAATCAAAATCAATTAAACTGTCCACTATTCCAGCTGCTATTTGTGGTCTCCAGCAGGTTCTTCTTTCATTTTGTCCCTGGCCAACTTCTGAAACTGGTGACTTCATTAAGTACCCAGTCACCTTGCCGTCTTCAGGGTGTGTCCGCTCGCCTGCGGCAGAGAAAACACGGGAAGGCTTTGCTGTAAATCTGCCGGTGTTCTTTCCAGGGGCTTAGGTTTGTTTTTAGCTGCCTTCTGGCTGCCCACAAGAGCGGTGAGCAGAATGCTTAAGATGTGCCATCTGCTTTTCCACCGTGTCGCAGAGTCCTCTGAGAGTCCTTGGAGGAGTCTCGGAGAAAACCGAGGCAAAGACACCTGCAGCCGTCGCTGCTGCTTCTCCTCCGTGTCACTACGGGCGTCGAACCCTCGCTTCCCCTCCTCCGCTTTCTTCTCTTGTAGCCTCGCTGTTTTTCTATTCAATCTGACCCTGGCTTTCAGCCCTGCTTGGCAGTCTTGTCCACCAGCGACCCAGAGCTAGCACTTCATAGAATCCAACACCAACAGCAGCCCAGGTTTTGCCATCTGCTCGCTTCCTGCGAGGTGTCAGACGCTCACACGCTTCTTTACACATTCAGGTGTGCCTGGCCTTAGCTTGCCCCTGGTCATGCTGTGAGAGCGCTAGGTTCAGAGTGCTGGCCAACAAAAGATCAGAGCGGGAACGCTGGACCGCACAGCCACGGGTAACCATCGTGCAACCCGAAATCCAAAGGTGTCAGACCACCTTCCCGAAACATTAGCTCTTTTCCAAAACCTTCTGTTTTTTTTTAGACAACATCATAGGCTAACTCCAGATGTGAAGGCTTTTGTGAAAGTTGGCTAGTTTTAGCAGCAGCGCAGACTGTATTATGTGGATAAGGCAATCCCAGAATGCACTGCGCTAGGCTCAGTGGAAAAAAAAGTCCATTGCAAACAAGGCCAATAGCTTTCTATTTTAACCAATATTTGCATCTACAGTCTATTTTTAATCTCATTAGAGTGTTGTGTGTTTAGCATAGCAATATGTTAGCAAAAAACTGTCGTAATATGATGTGGATCAATATAATTGCTAAAAGTAGTTAGGGTCATACATGCACTCTTTTACCTTCTCTTTATTTGTGCTATGTATTTTTAAACTTATTCAAGTGTTGTGCTGTTAGGTTAGCAACATGTTAGCAAGAAACATTTGTAATATGTTGCGGATCAATACAATTGATAAAAAGTAGTTTGGTTTAGGGTTACAAGTGTACTATTTTCCTTAGTATTTGTGTGTTATGTATTTTTATGCTGCTTAGTGCTGTTAGATTAGCAGCATGTTAGCTGGCAACTAACTAACAGTTAGATTAAAAGTAGTTAGACTTAGGGTAGTGCTGGGCGGTATACCGGTTCATACCGAATACCGGTGTTTATTTTTCTTATGATATGAATTTTTTAAATACCGCAATACCGGTGTCATTTAAATAATGTTCAGAACGCGTTTGAGGGGGGGTCTCTTTTCACTGTTGCACTGTGGCGAGGACACAGCTGTATGTGTTACTAAGCGTGAAAGTTCCGAAACTGAAGCTGTAGAACTAATAGAACGTGATGACACAGAAGAACTCATCCACAATATCCACTGACCGCCACACATATCCACCGCCCGCTGCCATCAGCTCCCGCGTCTCACACACACGAGTGCGACTTTAGCACTAGATTTAGCAACTTTCAGATGCTTTTAGTGGCTTTTTCCCATAGAATATATATACTGACAAACCTAGCGACTTTTTTGGATAAACCTTAGCTATGATTCAGTTGGAAGATGTCGCCAGTGCTGCCCCGCGAGCGCGAGGTCTGACTTTCCCGGAGAAGTGTCGCCTCTCTCGGCGTCTGTTCTGTGCAGTGAGCGGCAGAGAAGCAGCGCATTCAGTTGGCCG